AGGGAAGGGAAAAAAAAGGAAAACAACTGGACGAAAGGGGGAAAAAACGCGATCGTTGAACGATACCGTGGCAAACACTGTTTAAAGATTATTAATGCACCGGCGGCGAGGGAGACGCGGCGCGGAAAACAACGAACGCATCCGTCGTTTTAAATCAGGCGGCGGGTTATACGGGTTGTTAAAACACCGACTCTAATGGCCGTTTTAAAACGAGTGGCATTTTTTACGCTCACCCCTAAATCTCGCCGCTGATACCTGTTGCTCGTCCCCGGAAAAAAGTTGTCTCGCTCTCTGGGCTCCCGTACCTCGAACACGGCGCGCTCTCTCTCTTCGGTTCTCTTTATCTCTCTCCATCCCGTACGCTTCCCAACCGCCACCCTATTAGTATTAAACGATCGCGATAAAAATTGCAGTCACTCGTTTAACCAGTCTCCGCATAATTTCGTGCAATTTTCACGTGTGAAACGGGAGGAATTAATTCTCCTTTTATTCACTTCGGTTTCCATGAATTCGATCGTTCATTGTCCGGCCTGAAATGTAGAATCTGTTCGCCGGATGAATACATTAATATTGACAAGATATGAAACATTCTTTCCTTGACAGTTATTGTTCTATTTTTTATGCGATTACACGAGTTAACGGGCGTTTAATCACCTCTTAATCTGCTTCATTTTCACACCCCGTTTTAAAACTGCGGGATCCGATGGATATCGCCGGAGCGAACGGGACGAAGATCAATCGGCGAATAAATTATATTCTGAATTATATTTTACAAATTAATCGACCGAATTATCACTTCAGCTGGAAGGTGATCAATTTTTATTATTTCTCGCGTTCAAAGCTGTAATAAATAACATTTAAATCATTACGAGTTTGATGAAGGAATAGTGTTCGAGAGAATTTGATGGAACGATGTTAACGCGGTCGGAATGATTTTACATACAAGCTCCCGAGTTAAAGTGTCTTTCTAGCGTTAAAGTGTTCGCCGCCTCAATTAACAACAGTGCTTTGTCGATGCGCTTATAATTCGACCGTCGGCCAAACCATTTAATCGTATCGATGACACGAGACGAAGATAATAGTGAGTGATTAAAACGAAAGAGCCAATGAAACGATTGCAGGATCCTGTTCACCGTCCTCTGTAATCACATGAACAGTCTCGATCCACGTGACTACAGGGTAGCAAAGTACCAGACCGGAAAATTCTGTCTATACTTACGCGTCTACAATTTTATTTAGGCATTTATGCAAACCGCAAATAGATCAGGATTGCGTTTTCCTTTTCAAAACATGGGTTATAAAACAGCAATATAATATGTTTAGAAATACGATTTAATTAAATAGAATCTAATGGGCTGCGATGAAGTATAATAGCTTTCTGGATCGAGTACTGTATCGACTCACGCTAATTTAAGGAACAAAAACTTAATTATCACATTCATTGGACTGTTTTGACACTTCCTCTGTTCTAATGAGAGAAATAAGTTTTAATAAGATTTCATACGAAGTTGGTGGTTCTTAGTTAATCCTTTGCGAACGGATATTTTTCAAATGTTTACAACCTTTGCAAGAGGAAGAAAAATTATATATCGAACTCTTGAATGTTAAAAATAATAAAATTATGTGCTTTGTCTTTTAAACAATTAAATAGTTTACTCGTAACTTTCCACATTGAATTTGAAAGTTTGATGTAGTCAATATGGCAACATTTGTCGCAGGGATAAATGGTCCAAAATTAGTAAACGAATTACAGTACATTATTGTGTATTACCGTGTGTCCAATCGAAAAATCAGTGCAAAGTCAATCGTTCGCAGCGAAAACGAGCAAGCCGCCGCCGTAAGGTGTCCACCGTATTGCGCTATGCTCACGAGTCACACTTTTCTGGTTGCAGGTGAACGACCGTACAAGTGCCATCTACCGGATTGCGGGCGGGCGTTCATTCAGCTATCGAATTTGCAGCAGCACCTTCGGAATCACGACGCCCAGGTGGAACGGGCGAAGAACCGGCCGTTCCATTGCAACATCTGCGGCAAAGGCTTCGCCACAGAATCCAGCCTTCGTACCCACACGTCGAAGGTCAGTCATGTATGTACCAAATCCGACGTCCAACAACACCACCACCACCAACAACAACTACAACAACAACAACAACAACTACAACAGGCATTTTGGCTACTTAACGCGGTGCTCGCACACGATAATAATCAAATCCACGCTCGGAACGTTCCGGAGAATCGAGTCACTAGAATCGATCAGACGGTTGTACACACGTGCGATTTCACTCGTACATCAATCTATCTCTATAATAGTATATATATATTCATATATATCTATATACGTAACAGTCATATATACATATATATGACATATATAAATATATATAACAATACTTTTTTTTATCGTAATTCGCCAATTTTCGCTAAAACCAAATGATCGCTCTTCTTATCGGTCGTGCGTACGCCTAATAATAACATTAATATTACACGATAATTTTCATGCCGCGGTACGGAACAACGCGTTTCTCTATATGCACACATGGTGGCGGGTGGGTCACGCTTCTCTCCGTGCGATCTTGTAGATCCATTTCCCTCTCGATCGATAGGTTCCATTCTACCCCCTGTTTCTCGGTGTTGTTCATAGAGCTTCGCTAAAACAACGGAACACCGGTTGATTTAGCAGCTAATTCTCGACCATCGCGGGCAGTAGGACTCGATGCACGGCGATGCGAATCTACACGGTCACGTGCAATTGATCTTTGAAAAAATTCTATAAGGATAAACCGAACGAAACGGGAAAGAAAGGAAATACATACTCTGAACCGTGCAAAGAGTCTCAGCTCCCGGTTCGCAAGTGCCACGTAACTCTACGTGAAAAACCGGACACGCGCGGCCCGTGTTTTAACACAGTGGAAGAAGAGATCTCTCTCCTAACGGTAGCTTAGGGTTTTTCGTATAACACGCTTTGGGAATGTGCTTTGGTTGTGGTTACTTCTCGCCTCGGCTTCTCCCTCACTCTTTGAACGGGAGTTCGCAGAGCGACGCGTATACGTTAGGGGTGGATGGGCCAAGCAATCTCCAATTCGACCTTCGAGTCGCCGAAAAGATCGTTTCGCGTCAGTACACGGGAAGAAAAGGCAAAAATGGAGTCGAACTATCGGAATCATTCGAATCATCGTGGGACAAAGATCCAATAACTATAATTCAACTAGAAACGCTTTAATCGCGCGCAGACCCAACGAACCGACAATGACTCACGAGATCCGAAGGGGATGCTTACCGTACAAAACAATGATGCAAACGAACGCCA